ATACTTGGATAGTTGTCAGCAGCCGACAGACACAACTATAGAGCACTGGTAGAGGCCCGAGAACTCAGGTACGGAACTCAAAATCAGTCAGAAGTCTACAGGGCTAGGTTTAGGACGAGAGTCTGTGCTAAAGGGGAGAGCCTGCAAGAGCTGGCACAGGACTTGGAGAGCATGGAACACAAGGCCTATCCAACTGCACCACCCGATCTCCTCAAGTTGTTGCTGAGGGATCAGTTCGTAGATGCCTTGGACAGTCCACAACTTAAGATACAAGTGAAGCAAGCACAGCCCTCTACCATGCAGGATGCAATGCCCAGAGCTCTCGAATTTGAATCCTACGTCCAGCACAGTACCAAGGTTGGTACAGTCATCTGGATTCAAGTCGAGAAAAGGTCTGCTTTCAGAGAAGTTTGAGGGACTTTGCTGGCACTGTAACAAACCTGGGCACAAGAGAGCTCGATGCTGGAAACTTCAGCACAGGGGAGATGATACAGCAGGAAAGGCTGCTACCCAGAAAGGTTGTTGGAACTGTGAAGAGCAAGGAAATATGAGGAGCCAGTGTAAGAAGAATACTACCAGTAAGTCAGCTTCGGGAAACCAGTAGTGGTTGGTGCTAATGGACGCCCACCAACCTCCATCGTGAAAGTCCCAACAGCTAAGTGTAAAATGGCAAGCACACATAGTATCTACGTGACAGGCAAAGGTGCAACTTTGTCATAGATTCTGCATCTCAGCAAACCCTTGTGAGCATCAAGGTGCTGGATAACAAAGGAATACCAGAAGCTATACAGAATCTCTGTGGTGTGACAGGACATTCTGCAAGGTTGTGGGGACCAGTGTGGGTAACTATCGAGCTCATGGGCATGAAAAACTGACAGAAAGTATACTTGGCTGTATACTTTTCTGTAACTTCGTTCCGACGAAACTTTAGCGACACAAGTCCTTACTTAATAAAACTGGTTTATTCTTTCTGAATATAAATTTACCGATACACTTATTTTCAACAGTCGCTCTTTTACAAACGTTTTAACAACGAACGTTAACTTCAACAATACTTCCTGACTGCAGTTCAATTACTCACTACCTACACACATTATTGTCACGTTGTGAGCGTCTTATATATATATACCAGACAAACATATATCTAGTAAATGCTAGAGCATTCACGAAGGAACAAGCTAGTTCTAGAAACGTGGCGTGACACTAGTCACGTGACCTCGCTGACGCAACACTGCCCCTCCTTAGTATTGTTCGTCCCGAACAATAGCCACATACAATAAACCAATAATAATTAACAATAACTTAATTAAATGTACAGAATTACAATCACAAAATTACAATTCAACAAAGTCTCTTAATTTTACGGGACGTATCTTCTTCTGTACTGGTCTCCATCTCGTTGGCTTCTGCTTCATGTGAGGTTCATCTGCTCCATCGGGAATTGTCCTATCATCGGTAACAGTCACATCAGTGGTAGTAACTTCATCAGGGGCTTCACTGTTTCCCTTC